TTATACTCATTTGCATTTATGTTGTCACGATATTCCATGCCGGGGATTCCAGCGACCCTCGATGCTATAATGGTACAAATCAGAGTTTTTCCTTCCATAACTAAAGCAGATTATTAAGATTGGATTGCTGGTTAATGATATCGTGCTCATAAACATTATGTCAAAACCTTAAGATGCTTAGCCAATGACTTAAGTAAGGATTACAAGTAGGGAAACACAATTACAATCGTTCTCTAGACCAGTGGTTCTTAACCTGGGCGATATCGCCCCCCAGGGGGGCAATTTCATTTTTCAGGGGGGCGATGGAATGAAAAGGGGCGACATGGGGGGCGAAGGAACGAAAAGGGGGCAATATGGGGGCAATGGAGCAAGAAGTTTTGGGGACATTTTTGAGCCTGCCCCTGTGGCTCCGAGCCTCCTCCGCCATTTGGAGAGAGAGATAGAGAGAGAGAGGCACCTCTCTCTGATGCGGATTTGCCCCCTCACAGGTTGGCCCTGAGCCCGGATGCCCCGCCTCCTGGGACAAGCACAGCCTGGCTGGCCCTGTACCAGGTGCACGTGGCAGGGGACTGCGCAGGGGATCCCCAGGATCCCCGCTGGGAGCAGCCCACCAGAGCCTCAGCCTAGCGGGCCAGCCTTCCTGCAAGCCGCGGCCCTGAGGGAGAGCTGCCCCTGTGATCCCCAGCCATGGGCTGTTGGCCCAGCTGGGCGGGAAGATGCGCCAGAGTCCTGGCTGCTTTGAGAGGTGAGTAGAAGATGGGGGGGAGAGAAAGGGAGGGGGAGGCATTTTCCAACCAGACCCGTGGGAGTTCCTCCTCCTGGGGTCCAGCGCCGGCTTCCTTGCCCTCCTCCTCCTCCCCTTCTTCCTCCTGTTGCCCCCCAGGCAGCAGTCCTGGCTGGGGTGGTGGCCGGCGGGGGCATCGCTCCCTGGGCGATGCTGGTGGGTCGCGGATGGACGGGAGCGTCGTGCGTTGTAGAGCGGCCCCAGCTCCTCCAGCAACTGATGGGGGTGTTCTGCAGATGCCCTGCGAGTTAAGCCCGGGGACGCTGGCAGCGTGAGGGGAAGCTTGGCGATGCAGCCAACGGCCAATGGGCGGGGCATTCTGCAGATGCCCCGTGGCCCCGATTTGAGCTCAGGGATGCCAGCGGCACGTGGGACGGCCTGCCAATGTGACCGTGAGCCAGGGCATCCCTGCAGGCCCGGCGGGCAGCGAAGCTGGGTGCCTCCAGCAGCGACGGGGTCTTCTGCTGCCTCCTGCCCCCCCCTCCCCGCCCCTTCGGTGCCCTCTGCCTTTCATTCTCTCTCTCTCTCTCTCTCTCTCTCTCTCTTTCTCCTCACCTGGAGAAAGAAGGGGGAGGGAGGGAGAGGAAAGAGAGAAAGAGAGAGGGAGAGGGGAAAGAGAAAAAAAGAGAGAAAGAGAGGAAAGAGAGAGGAAGTGCAAGTGCCTCTATCTCCCCCTCTCTCTTCTCACCTGGAGAAAGAAGGGGGAGGGAGGGAGAGGAAAGAGAGAAAGAGAGAGGGAGAGGGGAAAGAGAAAAAGAGAGAGAAAGAGAGAGAAAGCGCAAGTGCCTCTCTCCTCTCTCTCCTCACCTGAAGAAAGAAGGGGGAGGGAGGGAAAGGAAAGACAGAGGGAGAGGGGAAAGAGAAAAAGAGAGAGAAAGAGAGAGAGGAAGTGCAAGTGCCTCTCCCCCCCCCTCTCTCTCACACACACTAAGTGGGGGAAGAGGACTGGCAGACCAAGGGCAGAAAGAGGGAGGGAGGGAGAGAGAGAGAGAGGGAGGGAGGGAGGGAGGGAGAGAGAGAGAGAGAGACCCTTTTGACATTTAAATGAAGATAACACTGAAGATATATATATAATAAAGGCAAAAAAGGATATATGCAGTGTTATCTTCATTTTAGATGTCAAAAGGGTTTTGCGGCTCCCAGTGTTTTGTTTTTAGTGGGAAACGGGTCCAAATGGCTCTTTGAATGTTTTGTGTTGCTTACCCCTGCTCTACCCAGTGATGGAGGGGGGACTGCTTCTTTCGAAACATCGCATGCTGTTTTGTGTGTCTCTTTGTATTGTACTTTTTTAGCATGCACTCGAGTTCGATATTATATTTTCTTTGTGACTTTTTAATCCTTTTTACAGTGTGCGTGACTATATATACTTTCCTCGAATCTTAATTTAGTTTCAGAATTTTCGTCTTGAAATTCTTAGTTCCTGCATTGCGGTTTGTTCTTATGCCCTTTTTATATTTCTTTTTGCATCTTAAATTTCACTTATAATTCAATCATTAAATGTTAGTGTTTTTCTTTTCGGGCATTTCACTTTCTTGCAGTTGAATTTTGTTTTCAATGGTCATTACATTTAAGTGTCTTGAATAAATAAGATAATAATGAAATACATGTATCACGAAGTTTGGGAATAAAGTGACGGGTGGCACCAAAAATTTTCACACAGTTGAGATATGGGAAAAAGACTGGAAATAAATTATTTGCATCATATGTCCTGATGACAATTTTAAAGAAAACAAAAAAAGTGTTTGCATAAATTGAAGAATTATTTCCCATGTTGTGATTGACAGGTTATGTTGGGGGAGGGGGGCGATGACAACTTCCTCATTGGCTCAAGGGGGCAATTCGTTCAAAAAGGTTAAGAACCACTGCTCTAGACCTTTGCCCCTTTGTTCCTGTCAAATTAAGAAATATCTATTGTGATTTTTCTCTTGCAGCAACATGCAGAAAAGGTCACATGATAAATTTCTTACATAATGCCTTTAAGATGTTTTTTCAAACCCCTTTCCTGAGCAAAAAGTTCATTGAACTGAAGCAAACTTTATTTCAAAAATTCATTTACAGGATTATTCAGCACAAATAAACTGTGTGACCCTTTTTATATCCCATATCCTCAAGGTGTTGCCCTTAAGTTATTCTCATTTGTAGCTGAAGTATGAAATGAACCTATAACACATGTCAAGGGTGACACATCACAATGTTTTGGGTGACACACCAGCATTCAACAACACCTGACAACTATTTTCCTGTTCTCAAACAATTTTCAGAAGCTGCAGAGGCCATATGAGAATGAAATATAGGTAGTCCTCAACTTACAACAGTTCATTTAGTGACCATTCAAAGTTGCAACAGCATTGAAAAAAGTGACTTATGACCATTTTTCATAGTTACAATCTTTGTGGCATCCCCATGATCATATGATAAAAATTCAGATGCTTGGCAACTGGTTCATACTTATGACCATTCTTGTATTCCAAGGTCATATGATTATCTTTTGTGACCTTCTGACAAGCAAAGTCAATGGGGAAGCCAGATTCACTTAACAACCGGGTTTCTAACTTATCAGCTTCAGTGATTCACCTCACAATGGTGGAAAGATAGGTCATACAATGGGGGCAAAACTTACTGAAGAAATGTCTCACTTAACAAAATAAATGTTGGGCCCATATGCTCTCCCATGGCCTCCCAACAAAAATCCAAAACAAAGAACAGAGCATGATTTGTGTGGCTTTTAGAGGCTGAAGAGGCCATGAGAGAACATACTCCAAAAATGCTTCAAGAATGAAGGCTTCATGATTTTGTGGGGCCTAGAGCTGCCCCAGCTAGGCCAAGGGAACTGTGGGCAGAAACACCACCTGAAAGTAAGCAGCACACAGTACAGGTGGTTCTTAACTTATGATCACAATTGAGCCTAAAATTTCTGTTATTAAGTGAGACATTTGTCCCATTTTATGATATTTCTTTCCAAAATTGTTAAGTGAATCAGTGCAATTGATAAATTAGTACCACAGTTGTTATATGAATCCGGTTTCCCCATTGACTTTGCTTATCAAAAAATGATCACATGACCTTGGGACACAGCAACGGTCATAAGTATGAACCAGTTGCCATGCATCTGAATTTTGATCACATGATCAAGGGACCATTAAAAAAGTTGTAAGTGAGAAAAATGGTCCTAAGACACTTTTTTCAGTGTAACTTTGAACAGTCACTAAATGAACTGTTGTAAGTCGAGGACTACCTGTAGATACTGGGGATCACACACAATTGGACAGTATTCTTTACATAAATATGTAAAGAATTGTTTCTCTTTTGTTCAGGGTAGGGGTGGCACACCAGTAGAGTCAAGTGAGGCATTTTCCAAATTTTTGACACCAAGCTAAGACTGGAAAGTTACACAGTACAGGTAGTTCCTTCACTTACAATAATTTGTTTAGTGACCACTCAAAGTTACAACGGCACTGAAAAAGTGATTTATTACCATTTTTCACAATTATGACTGTTGCAGCATCCCCATGGTCACATGAATAAAATTCGGATGCTTGGTCACTGACTCATATTTATGACAGTTGCAGTATCCCAAAGTAACTGTGATCCCATTTTGCAACCTTCTGACAAGCAAAGTCTCTGGAGACACCAGATTCACTTAACAACTATGGCAAGTAAGTCATAAACCGGGGCAAAACTCACTTAACTTCTCACTGAACACAAATTTGGGGCTCAATTGTGGTCGTAAATCGAGGACTACCCGTATTTAGTTTAAAACAGGCTTTGTATAGGGTTAGAATCTGTCTTTCTCCCTCTATTCAGAAGTTGCTTGATCTGAGGAAAGCTGAGAATAGTTCCCGCCATCTTTCCATTCCCACGCACCCAATCCCTCCGTTCCTCTTGCAGGAGTCATTTCACGGGCGCTTCTCCCCCCCCACCCCCAACCCCCCTCAGTCTTAGCAGCTGCCCATTAAAAGTATCTGCAATCCAAGCTGTAATCGATCATCTCTCCCCCCTCCGGTAAGTGGTACAGTCCCACCGCTCCCACACTTCCACGCACCGCAGCTGCGCTCCCAGACCGTGAAATGTCCGCGAAGATTCTCCTGGGACGGGCTGCACGCCGGTTTCTGGACGCGGACTTTCCTCCGGGCTCCTCCCCAACCCCCCCGTCCCCCCTCCCGCTTTCCTCTTTCCCCGCAGCGCTGCCCTCATTCGCTTCCCGCCAGACGCCCCGGACCCCCGGGGGAGGGGGAGGCGGGAAAAGCCGCCCGCCGCCTGCAGCGCGTGGCGGGCTATCTGCTCGATTCCCGGGACTGGGCCGCTTAAATAGACTCGCCCGGGCGTGGAGTCTCCGCAACTGCCTCCATCTCCCGGCCGAGCTGGAACTGCCGCCCACAGCCGGCGCAGCCGGGGCCCTTGGTCCTCTAGGAGGGCGCGCGCGGGACCCACCGGACCAAAGTCGGGAGTTCGTCGGTGGAGCCTGGGAAGTGGGGAGCGGGTTCCTCTTGGCGCCTCCGTTAGCCAGCCTGGCACAGCGGCGCCAGAGGGATCGGTTGAGCATTATGGAAGAAGGGTACCGGCATGTAAGTATGAGGGGCAGCACCAGCTCAAGCCAAAGGAGAAAACAAATTGTCTCTCCCTCCCTCTCTTTCTCTCCTTCCCTCTCTTCCTCCCTCTCTCCCTCCAGCTCTCTCCATCCCCTCTCTCTTTCTATCCTTTCCTCTCTTCCTCCCTTTCCCTCCCCTTCTCTCCCTCCCCTCTCTTTCTCTCCTTCCCTCTCTTCATCTCTCCCTCCCTTCCTCCATCTCTCTTTCTCTCTTTTCTCTCCCTCTCTCTCTTCTGTCTCTCCTTTCCTCTCTTCCTCCATTTCTCTCTCACAGTGTCTCTGTCTCCTTCTCTTTCTCTCATTCCGGCTGCTCTTAGCACAGCGTTTCTTTCTTCAGAGGCCTCCCAAGCAGGCTGGGACCGCAACTCCGAAAACTCCATTCATCCATCAAGCAATATCTGAAGAATATCAGGATAGAGAAAGGCTGCCTTAAAAAAAAAGATACACTTTGGGGAGGGGTGGTGGTCATTCAGGCATCAAGTTCTTCTGTTTGTGGCAGAGGGAATGTGACTCTGGGCCACAATTTGCACAGAAATGTCTTGCAAATTTCTGAATATCTATGAATGAGAGTTGCTGACTGGAAAAGTATGTTTAATCATAGTAGATTTCAGTGCAAAATTCCAAGCACTGCTTTGGAGGCACTGCCAATCACTGCCCTAGAGTGGGATTTGAAATCAACTTTTCTTATCCAGAAGAAGGCAATGATCAATCAGAAAGAAAACATTTTGGAGTCTCTGCCTTGGCTGGACACTTTGCTGTAGTTTTTACTGCCTCACTCTTAGCCTTTGAGTACTTTCAGATGGACAGCTCCTAGCACTACAAAAAGCAGCAATTCGTAACTACGCTGCCTTTTTTTCTCTTAAATTTCCAGATGAAATGGTCTTCTTGTAAAACTCCTGTGTTTCCTATGGCCTTTCTTAGCTTTTTTTAATATATTAAAATGTGTTGAGAAGGAGCAGCTTTCTATGGTGAATGTTCTGTAGATTTTGAACAGTTGTGTCTGATAAACAGTGTAATCCTATTTGTGTTCACGTAGACATTTTATGTGTCTTATACCTAGTTAAGCACACATATAGGCATCCTTCGGGTTTTAACAAATAGAGATATATTCCTTGTTGAAGAACATACTAAGTCTTTACGATTCCTCTCTTATATTGTGAGACAGAATGGGAAAAGGGGGGAATTTCTTAAGGAAGAAGTTACTTAGCTTCAGGGTTTTATTAGAAAAATTTAGATTGCCACTTCACTGACTTCCAGATTTGTTACCATCTTCAAAAAGAGCTTACAGTTTTTTTTGCAGTGATAGTGAAATGACTTGGTAGGATTAGGAATTTGTGGCATATTCATTTATTCAATTTGTATAGGCGCCCATCTCACACTCATGATTCACATAATTAAAACAACCATGCACACACAAAAGCAAAATACAGATACCAATAAAACAATAATCCCATTAAAACCAAACTAAATCCATGACAATAAATTGAGCTGGTGTCTCATAAAAAGGTTCCCAACACACAGTTTGGAAGAAAAACTCTACAATCTCTTCTGAGAGTAAGATCAGGCTAAGGAATAAAGTGGGATGTTTGCAGAGTACATTATCGCATTTTGAGTTAATTGGTTTCCCCAGTGGCACGGAGAAAAGCAATCTAGAACTAAGGAGAAATTTCCTAACAGTGAGAACAATCAACCAGTGGAACGAACGGCTTACCTTTAAAAGTTGTGGGTGCTTCATCATTGGAGGCTTTTAACTGGAGGTTTCAGACAGTCATTTGTCTGAAATGGTAAAGGGTCTCCTGATTGAGCAGGGGGTTGAACTAGAAGACCTCCAAGATCCCATCCAACTCTGTTATGCTATGTTCTAATTGAGCTTTAAAAAAATTACCTACTCAAGTAACAGTGGGCATACAATTACAACTCAACAAAAGTTTATATAGTTTTCAGGGACTTTCCTGTCTGCCTAGATATCTGTTCATTGGTTAAAACTTGGAGCAATTACATCTTTTTGTGTCCTTGATATAATTAATACTGTTGATGGAGGGATGCAACAGTATTTATACAACCCCAGAGAAGTGTAAACTAGAATTCCATTAACTAAACCAAGAGAGAGTAGCAATTATCGGCTGAGTGGAAAGTTTAGAAAATAACTATTGATCATCTTTTAATGGCGATACTTGATATATATTTTTAAGAATGTAAAAGCTAATTTTTATCAATGGCTAGAAAAATGAGTCAGAGAGAAAGGAATGTGATATATAATTTTGAATATATATTAGTAAGAAGAAGGCTATTGAGTGATGAATTAACATATTGTTTATGACAATTAACTGTATCTATTATTGTTAGTTAAATACATGTACCCAGACATTATGCTGTTTGCTAAATATTGAAAATGTTATTTGGAAAAACCCCAACCCTAACTTTAACCCTAACCCAAATCCCAATCCTAATCCCGACCCCACCATATCCCTAACCCTATAAAAACTAATAAAATCTATACCAAAAAAAAGAATGTAAAAGCTTAATAAGGAATTTATGAGAGATCAGTCAACCACACAAATTCTCAATTTTTTGTTTTGCTGGGGAAATGATGTAAATGATCATATATGACATCAGAATCTACCCTCTTCATATTCCAGGATAATACAGTTATAGATTAAGGTTAACATAGGAACAGTTAAACATCAGAAATAGAAATGTATACAGCTTGTTCTATTTGCAGTTTTTAGGTGTGCACCTCATTTTTAAAACTACACTTTATCTGGAAGATGTAGACTGATACATCCCTCGGCATCTCTTCAGTCATTGCAATGAATGGTATGGAAGTTGGTTCCAGTCTATTGCCTTTCTTTCCAGGATGGTTATATTGCCCAGAGTGTGATGTATTATTTTTGGTCATTATCTGAACTGGGAATTAGAGTTGCCATGCTATTTTTTTCTATAAAAGATTCCATTGTATGTTGTAGACTTGGAAAGATTGTATTAAAGCAGTGGTTCTCAACCTTTTTAATGCCGCGACCCCCAACCAGTCGTAAGTCGAGGACTACTCAACTGGTGCAGCACCGTTTGCAGAATGGGACTTTTGGCGGGCTCAGCAGGGCAGAGACAGCCTGGACAATTCCTATTGGCTTTTGAAAGCCAATAGAATTAGACTCTATTCAAGAGAGTCTATTCTATTGGCTTTCAAAAGCCAATAGAATAAAAGGGAGTAGCACAGCTAAGGAAAAGGGGGAAAAAATGGCGGACTGCGTTGTTTGGCGACCCCCGTGAAATGGTCGTTCGACCCCAAATGGGATCCCAACCCAAAGGTTAAGAACCACTGTATTAAAGTACTGAAAGGATTTGATACATAACCTAGTCCCGCCTTCTTTTCCATACAGAAATCCACTAAATCTCAATATCAAGTGTCGCAGCTATCCAGCCATCGTTTGATAGCCTTAAAGGAAAGTCTGCCCCATGCCAGACAAATTGTTCCAGTGCTTAAGAACTCTTAATCAGGAAATTTCTTCCAATATTTAGTTGAATTCTCTTTTTTTAAAAAAAGGCCTTTGCTTTGCCTTGTTTTTAAAGGAGAATAAGCTTGCTGTCCTCTTTACTAACTACATTCTTTTAGATATTTTGTAGACCATTATCATCTCACCAATTATCTCTTTTAATTCAAAGGTTTTGGTTTCTAGATATATTTTTTAAAAAAAATGTTCTCTTTTAAACTTGTTCACACTTTTTCTTTTCAATGATGGGTCTCAGAATATTTACAACATTCCAAGTGCCATCTAATTTATGCAGAATATAATGAATGAACCTTCCATGATCTGAATGCAGTGCTTCTGTTAATATAGTCCAAACTTCATTGGTCTTTTAAACCATTTCATTATACCAGGGGTCTTCAAACTTGGCCCTTTTATGACTTGTGGACTTCAACTCCCAGAATTCCTCAGCCAGCATACCTGGCTGAGGAATTCTGGGAGCTGAAGTCCACATGTCATAAAAGGGTCAAATTTAAAGACCCCTGCATTATACTGATTCTTCAGTTGATCATTTCCACCTGCACTGTCACATCACTAGTCCTATATCTATGCATTTAAGTCTCCCTGCCCAGATGCAGGACCTTGCCAATATCATCCTATTAATCTGAGGCAGTGCCCAAGCATTTGGAGATCATTTTAATTTTTGATTTTGCCTCTTATATGTTAGCCAATGCTCCTAGTTTATGTTTATCGTTTTCATTCCATTATCCTTTCAGTTCAGTTCCATCCCGTGGCTTACTTATAAATATCTAATAAAATGGAATAGCTTTGGGACAAGATCCCTGGAGATTCCACGCAAAGCATAACCATTTACAAGGATTCTTTGGATGCATTTGTTACAGCCAATTGCAAATTCAGGAGGCCAAAGTACTCTCATTTGTTTATCTTGTTCAGAGGGATCTCATGAGACCTTGCAAAACCTTTACTAAGGCCGTGTTATATTTCATCAACATTTAAAGTATTTGTCTCAAAGGTGCTTTTTCGACTCCACAGACATTTAAACTATTTGCTCTTAGAAGAGATAAAATAATATGAAGCTATTTGTTTATTAGCTTCTCCAGGAATTCAAAGTAGCATATATATGATTTTCTCCTTCAAATTGTCCTACAACAATCTGACAGAGACTGACTCACCCAGTGACTTCCATAGCTGAAGACGGAACTGAATCTAGATCTCTCCAATCCTAATCTAACTCTAATCATTGTAGGATAGTGGCTTTCAGTTTTTAGAAATTGTTAGAAAATATAATATTAGGACTGTGCAATGCTTCATATAGCATTTACTTGCAAATGCATTGAAACTACTATGCATTTTTTCTAGCATTGTGAATTTGTCTTCAAAAATATTTTATCTTTGAAAGCTACCTAAAGATTTTTCTTTCTTTCTTTCTTTCTTTTTTTAAAAAAAGGTCTTTTAAGTGTTCTAGCTTAGCTATGTAACTGGAATCTGT